ACACAGCAGGAGGTGTGAGACAGCTCCTGAGCTAAGTGCTGCCTGTTCTAGGGCCTCTGGCGGGCTTTCAGCTGAGGCCATGAGGAGAAAGAAGCAGGGCGTTGGGAAAGGTCTGTACCGGCTTAATCTGCTCTGGGAAACCCAAGTTGCTATTCAAGTATCAACCCTTAAACACCTCCCCACATTTCTTTAAAGTTCTTCCATGTGTGAATACATTGTTTCTTTTAAGAAGGCTTTTCCTTCAGCAATATTTGCCCAAGTGTTTCCTCTGTACACACAGTTTCTGAGCAATTAGAGTGAACAGCAGAGAAGAGGTCAGCAAAATGCAACCGGACACTTACATCCAGTGCTCAGAATAGCCCCAGCCCTGACTTGGCCCCCCCCTCCCATCCAATAGGTTTTCATTTACTCCTTCTTGGCAATTATGATTTTACCATTGTAATTATTAACAAATGTCTACCAGACCCCACTTTTTCTTTAGAATACTACCTCCTCCAATACACATAAATACATCACCATAATATCCTCTAGTGAAAAATAGGTTTAAGTCACTATGATTTCATGTCTGAAAAATGTTGAGATCCTGACCTCCAAATAGACGAAAGCCACCATTTCATCACTTTAGTCTCTCTCTTCAAAAATAGAGTAGAAGAAGGAAAGAGAGTAAGGCAGAAGCATTTTAGGGCTTCTTTTCCTTATCAATATAAATATACAAACAATATAAATATGTCAATGATCTTTGCAAAATCCAATAGGAGTCAGAACAAGGAGAGGACCATTAGATACTACATGATCTCATTCGACTAAGAGTCGTAGGAGAACCAAACTTCTAACTAAAACTTTAAACAACGGTTTTAGAGGATTATATAAGGTACTTCTACATATGCTTTATTTAGTTTACGTTATATATTCATTTATTCATTCTTTCTTTTAACAAATATTTAGTGGATGTCTACTCTGTTCCAGATCCTGTCCTACTTTTTTACTTTTATTTCCCTAAAAGTAATCCTCCTGTACATTCCACGTATTTTCAACAATACTCTCTCTCTTAATGTCCATCAGTAGATATGGGAATTTGTAGAATTATTCTTCCATTTGGACAGATGGGAGCATACTTCCTTTTGGACTTGGTTTTGAATAGAAGAGGAAAACCACCACAATATATCATAATAGCTTTGAGAGCACCGATCAAACCTCAGAATGAGAGACAAGTTTCGGCCAATATTGTCCTGCTGTACTTTATGCTTCCTGACTTGCTGGTTAGACTTGATGTTAAGAAAAGGCCCTTCCTCATAAAGTCAGAGTTGCCAAGGCTTGCTGGGGAGTTACCTACCCTTGCAGAGCCAAGGCCTTATCTCAAAGGATAAGGTGGAGTTTGCTCTTTTCCCCTATTGCGAAATATGAGAATATTAAGTAATCTGTTTATATCATACAGATCCAAAATCCTGGCTGACTTTTTAAAGCATGAAACATCCATAGTATTTCCTTCTGTTTGGGAAAAGCTACCTGAGACTCTCTTCCCATCTCAACCCTAGTTAACCCAACAAAACTTGGCAATTTCCCCTAAATGTGTTTGAAATGAAAACTTAGTATTGTTCCTCATGGCCAGCATTTCTGGGTCATTCTGGTAATATCGCTTTGTCGTTTACAGACTAATTCTCTGGAAGCGCCTGCACTGGAGTTGGAGTCTTTTGGTACAGAAACAAAGACAACATCTGAGATGTTAAAAATTTTAAATGAGTTTATCCACAGTAACCACTCTGTGCCAAAAATGTTAACTTTACAAAACCATACACAGTTTAAGGTAATCAATGAAAGAACAGATATAAAAGCTTCTCTTTATTTTAAAGATTAAAGTTGGCAGTTGGTTTCCTTTTTAAAGAGTATCTCTTTAAACCCTTAACACAAATGCACATGAGAAATTATGTGAAAATGAGGTTTAGATCTTTAAATATATCCCACATAGAAAATTCATTATTTAAACAGAAGATGACTCCTCTTCTGACTCACTCTATTCTTAGTGAGTTTTGCAGTTGATGGTTTTCTATTGAGTTTTTAGAACGTGGATTAAGTGTCATGCCACCCACTAAGAGTAAAGTTGAACCAGGTGAACTGAGGGCGTGGTTGGCAGTCTCGATCTCTCCTCTTCTCAGAACCACAGCAATAGAGAGAACTATGTGAGAGCATCTGGCTCTTCTTGCCTTTAGGCTGAGCTCAATCCAATCACCCCAAATTAGTTGACCCTAAGAAGAATTTTAAAAGCATGAACATTTCAAAGTCACTAGAGCTACTGGACCTCTGTCACCCTAATAACCACTTAATGGGAGTGCATCTTATTGTGCAAATTACTTCAAAAAACACACTTTTATTTAAAATTTACTTTTGCCAAGTGTGCTGTAATACATTTCAATTGTGTTTATCCTGAAAGCAAGAGAAATAACTACTTGAATAAAAGGAAACACGTTTGATAATAGAAAGGTAAGGTGATCCAGCTCCTTGCCCTTTGAATTTCTGATCTTTAAAACTGAAGCACTTACTTCTGCCATAAATGTATCAGAAACTCAACTACATCAAAACAGAGATAACAGTTTGCTTTCCTTCAAATACATCCTTCTCTATGCAATTAAAAATATGAGATAGACTCATGTCCTTGAGGAAAACATTCCCACTCAAAATCCTTATTAGAGGTCTTGACAGTCAAGGCATTTCTTTCTTCATTCCCAACCACTAGGACCATGGATAAGCCATCAAACCCATGTCCATTTCAACTTCTTTACACTTTCACCTAGACATACTATAAAATTTCAGTGCTCCCATCCCCACCAGATGAAGCCAAGTGAGAAAATGGGAGGGTCAATTGGGAAGGCACTGAATTAGAAATGAATAGTTCCTAATTGTAGTTCCAAGACTTGTACTGTAGAGGAGCCTACACTGTTGGACATTCTCCACCAAATAATGACACCTTAAGCAACCATCCTATAGGGTCTCAAGACTCAACAACAGGCAACTAGCTATACATGCCTTGAAAGAAATGCAATCAGCCCAGGCTCCAATTAACATGAAAGATAATTATTATAATAGAAGTCTTATCAGAATAGGAAAATATATAAAATCCAGGTGGCACATTTAATCATCACAAAGGCAAAAAATTTTGCAGCTGTTTCTACCACCTTTTATTGTCTTTTATGTTCCTCCTTAAAGAAACCTGACTACAGATTTGTGTGTTATTCATTGCATTGTTGTCTTAATTTCGTATTTAAAAGTCAGGGAAATACTTCAGGAAATAAACTTCTCAGTCAAAGCCTTAAGAAACCCATGTACAATATCCTATCGCAGTAGCATGCTGTCAATCCTACAGATCTTACAAATTCAAGTGATTTACATCTCCTGTGAACTTAGCTAGAACATTATTCTCAAGGAAAACACACACACACACACACACACACACACAGAGTAGATCTCATTCCCAAGCTTTCTCACTGATTTTTCTACTGTAGTTATCCTGAAACTAAAGGATATTTATTCAGCCCTACAATATTTCTTACATCCATATATGCAATAACTTTAAGAGTCTTATCCCCTCTTTGACCCTGGGACAGTGACAGAGTCACCACAATGGAGACTTAACATCACGGGTTGCAAGAATCTTAAGACAAAAGTTTGACCATTTTGCTTTCACTAACTTGACATTTTCCCACAGTCACGTTGTAAAAGTGCAAGGAACCCATAAAACAATATGAAAGAAAATACTGTAGTTTCCTCTTCCCTGAGAAACTTGGGCATCAGATTCTTATTAGTCAGTCTCAAGAGCATAAATGCAGGAAGTCAGGAGGTGGAGGGAGGGAACCAATCCTCCAACCCTCCATGGTCAGAAGAAACTTATTAAGCAAACATGCAAAAGAACCTAATAGTCACATGATTCAAACTATTCCAGGTGGCGCAGGAGCATCACTTGCCTGGAACCTAGTGCTGGGTTTGGTCAAAGAATCACTCCAGAACACACAATACCCACCCTCTTTTTCCAGATCCCATCACCCTTCTGGTCCAAGTTTTTGGTAGGCATTAAATAGTCACCAAATGGTACCTGTCAGACTAGAGTTTGCAAAACACATACGAACGTTCCTCAGGTGATTTTAAAGGGTACAATTTATAATACGATCCACCAGCAAGTTGTATTTAACTTCAAGAGTACTGTCTACAACCCTGATTATTTTCTAAACTCTCATTAGAAATATTAATAATACCTTGTATATCTATGATGCCTTCACATAATTACTTTAATGAATATTAATTAAGCCCTGCCTTCTATCAACTAAATAGTATTATTCCATATCATTGTTAAGTCGAGAGACAAAAGGAGAAGGCACACTGAAAGCATCATAGAACCAGCTAAAATTCAACTCTTATTTGGTTTTTAATGGGCACTGGGGAACTTCAGCAAAAGAGGTCCTGGAGATTTTTTAAGTAAAAAATGCTTGTTCATCTTTTCCTAACTGAGACTCATCCATAATTATCACTCTTTATATCCTCAGCTTAGACCCATTTTTCCTGCAGCAATGGTATCTTTCTCCTTCTGTAACATCTGTTTCTCTACCCTGCAAGCTATAAAAAAAGAGTATAAGAAGATACTGCCAAATGCATTTATACAAATCTAGCAGCTTCCTTGAATTAGTCACTGGAAGGTGGTTAATATTATCCGGCAAAATATTTATTTTTGACAGAGGCACAGCTAACACAGGCACCTGCTTCAAAGTAAGCCCCTTCCTTTTTCTTTTTTTTTAACTGTGCAGGACCACACTGAATCAGATTCTGATGGTCTGCTGAAGTTCTGAATTACTTTCCGTGTTAAAGCAAAATGTGGAGATTCATGAAACTCCATAGGAAAGCTTTGGTTTTTAACTTCAAAAATATAAGATACATGAAAGGAAATTTATGAGTGTTAATTCTCTACAAAGACATATGTATATGAATACACACTTTCCCAGACCCATACAGCTCACCTTCTACTTCTTCTTCATCACACACATGCTTGAGGAAGGAAGCCCCTCTGTCCAGGACAGCTTCATCCTCCATCCTATAGTAATAAAAAAGAAAAAAAGAATGCTCAGACTTCTCCTGGAGCGAGCCACTTGAAGCAGCCCAGCTTCTGGGCAGGTTAACCTGCAGGCTGTTGTTCATGTTAACGGGGCAGTCGCTCTTCCTCTGGTGTCAGCTACTCCTTCACGCAGCTCCTCATCTGGTGCTTGAGAATACGCCGGTCCCACATAGCTTCAGTTCTAACCTTGACAGGGCACCCACACGGACAGGTGAGAGAAAATCATCTCAGTCCTGTAGGCTGGATGTTGAGGATTCTCCCCTCTGGGATTTGGAAAAAAAAAAAAAAAGATGAAAGAAAAAAATACCAAGAGAGGAAGTTTGGTGTGTCTGGAGTGCTCGTGATGATCGTTTGTGGAAATCCAGCTTCAGTGCTTAGCTCTTTAAACACCCACTGCATAAAAATGTATACCCTCACACACACACACACATGCACACCCACCCACACACAGACAGCGACAGGGAGTTAGGCTAGTGCACAGTGGGAGCCTAGCTTCCAGCCAGCCTCTTAATACCAGCACAGCCCAGTATTCTCTGTTGAGTGGCAAGCTTTGAGTCACATGTTGGCCTTACGGAAATCTGACATCTGAGGATTATCCAGCAACCCGGCTTCGGCAACAGTCACATATATATGCCACTCATTCATTCATTTTCCACATTCTTACCACACGTCTCGCTCTGTGTACATCTGTCCTGTTAACTCTTCCCTGAAGGGCACAAAGTTCTTCATTTTGTAGCCACATTATGCTGTTCTCCTCTCTCCTTACATAATAGGATCTACTCTGCAATTTCATATGCTAAATAAGACCTCAGAATCCATCCAAGTAATGACAGCGTTTTTACAGCCTCCTGATGCCAAACATGTTTCTAGTTTATAGAATGAGTTAAGGTTTATTTCCATATTCTTTGACTCCTTTTCATTGCATTAACTCTGACATACAGAATTCCATGAACTCTATTTATAGTGAAAGCAGAAAGAAATCTCGAATTGCTCAAATGCTGCTTGTGTCATACCGGTCTAGAAACAAAGAACTTTCTTGGGAGACAGCTGCTCTATGTCATACCATACATGAGCTCTGCCAGAGAACCAAATGTTCACTCTGTATACTATCCATCCAATTATATGCTCAGGCATTGAATACTGTAGGTCTGCTTTCCACATTGTTTGTATGACTTATTGTTCTTCAGATATTTCTTACAATCTATGTAAATATGCACTGAATTCACATTTTCCTCCTTTCCATTTTAGGAGCATATCCATCTAGCAAAGCATAAAAAGTCAGAAATTGGGTGTCAGGTAGACATGGGTTTAAAAAATCTAGTTCTACCACTTAGTATTTGTATCATCTGGAGGAAAGAATTTAACTTTTTTGAGCATCACATTTTCCATCTATAAAACTGGGGGTAATATCAACTTTGCAGGATTGTTTTGAGATTCAAATTAGGTAACATAAGTGAAAGCACTGAGTTTTGTGCCTGGCACCTATTACATGCACCATACAGATAAGTTTCCTTCCTTTCTTCTTTCCTCCTTTCTCTTTTACCTTGACCTTTACTGGTGGACAATCCCATTAAGACACTCATTACCTCTGGACCCTTGCAGAATATCTCCTTTCAGGGATATGAGCCTTGTATGCAATAGTTCATCCTGATATATATCCTTTTCCTTCTTTATACTCAAACTAAAAAATATAAAACTAAATGCAAATAGGATATGGATCAGCATTAGGATTATCGTACAAAAGAAAACGTCTTGAAGACTTGAGAAGTCAAGTCAGTTGCCAGCCTCTCTGAGCCTCAGGTTCCCAGAAAGATTAAATGATATGGCATATTCACTGATTCAGCAAATATTTATTTAGTGTCTGCTATGTTCCTGGCACTCTCCAGCTGAAGGCAAATACATCCATGAACAAGACAGACAAAATTCCTAGGAAACTAAAAATAAATAGAGGAACAAGGTAATCTTAGACAGCATTAGGTACTTTGCAGAAAATAAAATGAGGCAGGGGGCTACTTGGTATAAGGTGGTTCAGATGAGGCTTCTGAGGAGGTGACATGTGAGCAGAGATAAAAATGATAGGCAGGAACCAGGCATTTGAAAGGAACAGAAATGAGGTCATTGAGGCTGGACAGAGAGGAAGAAGGTAAATGGCAGTTGACAATGCTGGAGGAAATCAGGGCCACACAGGCCATGGTAAGCAGTCAGAATTTTAGGTGTTATGGGAGCCCCTGAAGAGTGTTAAGACGGAAAGTGACTTGAGCTGCTTTGCCTTTTTAAAGGCTCACTCTGCCTGCTGTGTGAAAAATCTATAGTCAGGGGATAGAAGAAACTAAGAAACTATCTCAGGAGCCCAGGGAAGGCTGTGGGAGAAGTAGATTTGGGGGAAGGAATCAAGAGTCCTTTTCTGGCCACCTATGGTTGAGATGCTTATTATATATGAAAAAGGAACTGTCAGGTACACAACTAGATGTCTAAGTCTGGAGCTCAGGAGCCTTAGGGCTGCAGATGAAAACTGGAGAATCAATGAATAAAGCTGGTATCTGAAGTTATTACTAGATGAGATCATCCAGGAAGACAATGTAGAAATAGAGTAGACGTAAGATCAAGTGCTGCCAACATTTACAAGCAGAGCAGACGAACAAAGGCAGTCGGTGAGGTAAGAGGAAAACCAGGAAAGAGTGATGTCAGGGAGGTTGAGGAAAGAGGAGAGAACTGCTGCTCAGAGGCTGAGAAAGATGGAGACAGAGAAGGAAAACTTGGCTTTGACAACATGGAGGTTGTTGGTGACGATGACCAAAGCACTTGAGACATACCATCCCCAGTGCTGGACACACAGATGGCATTCCGTCATTCCCTTGCCTCTTTCCTGCACTCCTCCATTCATTCATTCATTCATTCATTCGTTCATTCAGTAAATATGTACTGAGTACCAACTAGGTGCCAGGCACATTGCTAGGCACTAGAGACACAGGGATGAGCAAGACAGGCAAGGACTCTCGTGTAATCTCAGCTACCTTCTCAAAGACTCCCCTGAGCAATCTTGGAGAGTCAGACCAAAGGGCAAGAACCTGTCAGTAACACAGCATTTGCAGACATAGATAAGGATGACAGCTTAATGGGGAAATTTTCTTAAAAGACCTCCGAAGCACAACAAAATCCTGGAGCCCTGCACTACTGCACGTAAATTAACAGTACTGTCTCCCCTTTGGAAAACAAACAGTAGTTAAGCCCACACTTCTCAGAACTAACCCTTCCCCGTCCCATGAACCTCCAGAATCCAACACCATTTCCCGTACAACATCATTCCTGCACCCTATCTTTAACTAAGCTGGTCCTAAAGTCTTTTATTGACCTTTTACACATTTCCCAAATAAAACATTTACCCTTTGCACCTCAGCCCTTCCAAAAATTGCATGCAACAACCAAAGGAAAGAAAACCAGTAACAACTGGCGGGGAGGACAGAAACATTAATGCCCAGAGCCCTCTTCCTGGGCTGAGAAATCCATCCAGCCTAACTGAGGCACCATCCCATGCTCCATCTGAGTCAGAGTGAGAACAATGATTGGTGTATTCCCTGGTTCTTTGATACATATTTCACATTCCCACCAAGACTATACATAGCAAGTAATTAGAAACCTAGTTCTTTCTGATGGACAATGCAGAGCATCTGCAAGCAGCCTCTTTCCTGTAGGATGTGAAAAAGAATGAGTGCTGCAAACTGAAAATAAAAAACCTGCCCCCACACACACACAGCAGCCTTTCCCCAGAGCAGCCCTCTCCTCCTGGAGAGCAAGTCCAGCCTGGCGCATCTGGGCTTCGACACAAAGTACAGGGATTTCACAGCGTTTCTCTATCTTTACACCACAAATGTCAATTATTTGGGTTTGTGTTCCCCCACTAAAACCCTCTCAGCAGTTGTTTGCTATTATTAGTAAAGAGAGAGATCTTTTAAAATGACCATCTGACCCAATCAGCTTTCCCTCTATCAGGAGGAAGAAATTAACTCATCTAGTCCCTGCTCAGGTCCCCAAATCCATTCTTAAAATGTTCCTTTCACAGGAACTGCATTTGCTGAAAACAAAGAAGGGAAGGAGCACGCTTCTACACAGCTCCCTGGTTTGCTCACATCGCCAGCAGGAGACAAAGTTCAGAATAGATTTGGAAGCTTCTCACCAGCATCACGGGGATAAGGGTCATATCAGTCAGTATAAAATCCACACGGGGCCAATACTGCCTTCCTTCAACAGGGCCTCTGACAGGAGAAGTTAGACCCCCCTTCCTCAGAAGTCCACACCCAACATGGAGTTTCTCTCATTCTTCTTTATTCTGGGACACCAAAATGACTGAACTGCAACACATGTTAAATCTGCTGCCAAACGGACCCGCTTTCACCAGCCAGTCCTAATCACTGAGCAGGCTTGTAAGGGTGACTTAAGCCCGGCACGAGAAACATTTGTGCAAAACTGTCAGCCACTGGGCCTTGGGCACCCATCTACATTCCACCCCTCTGAGTTCCCTCCCCCAGAGCCCTCGCCAACTGCCAACGTGCTCACCAGCTAGTCCACACTGCCCAAGCAGCTGCCACTCAGCCAGTCAGCAAGTGGCAGGCCGCCAGCACACAAGTTTCAGAACGCAAGCCTGCCCCGTCACAGTGCTGCTAAAGGTTGAAGGTCTGGGTGTGCTAGCCTTCAGATTCGCCTCACTTGCCCTCCCACCTCCCTTCTCAAATCCCTCCCCCGCTACACCTCCCACGGTAGCATTTCACTTGTCTCTATAGTAACAGCATCTGGTTTCAGGGTTATAACTTTATACAGAGCAATTCTCCTCCTAACCTAAGGCTTCTGCCAAAGGATGCACTAGCAAAAATGCTGCTGCTTAAGGCGGAGCCACCTGTTCCCTTGTCACCCCAGGACTGCAGCTATGTTGTGAACGACAGGGTCACAGCAACATCAGCACTCAGACCTGGACAAGCGGAAAACAGACCCTCCAGCCTTGGCACACCGGCCCCTGCGTAGGGGATCCACTCTGGGGCTTGGACCCCCCATCGCAGAGCCAGCCCCCTCTCCTCCACACCCTGCTCTCCTCTTAACCAGGCTCCAGGGACCAAATGAACATCGGGGCTTTCTGACTACTTCCAAAAGGCACCAGGGGGTGGCACCCCAGGGAGCAGAATAGCTCCAGGTTTTAACATGTCCATACCTGAGTTTGACACCACTGCTTCTTTCCATGCATACAGCTTAAAGTTAATTAGTTAACCTCATATTTAAACTCATCCCACTTTATCCTCACTAGCCGGGTCTACTTACGACATGCAGTGAACCCCGTAATCTCTCACTTTACAACAGCTCTCCTGTACAGAGCAAATGTTTAAACAGTTCTTTACACACATGCCTGCATACACACCGAAGTGACGCATGCAGAGGTGCAGACAAATACTAGGAAGTGAAGAGTTTTATTATTATTAGCCATTGCTGCCATGAATATTCTATTTACAGTGTGCATAAGGGCCTTAACTTGAAAACTAAGAGGTGTTGATCGCAAGTCTCCGAGCTCAAAAGCAAGCTGGCCCTGCTCCTTGGCCCGTCTTAGATCAGAGGAGAGGCAAAACCCAGCACTTTCCCAGGTCTTTTTCAGGAGCTACACAGATGCAACAATCAGTTCTGACATCTAAAATTATACACTCACACACACACAGCTCTGAATTTTATTCCCTAGTCAAATCATTTCTAAGAAGCGAGGAACCATTCTCGTTACAAATCACTGGCAAACGTGATGTTTTCTTTCAAACTTTCTAAACTGCACAGCATTTGTTTGATGCCTTTGTTGTTTTGGAAAATCTCCTGTCCACATTTTCAACCTCCCCATAAAGAACAAGTCTGATTCTCCAATCCACAGGCGACAGGGGAGAGCAATCTCAGCAGCTGCAAAGAGCACTGCCATCTTTTGGTAACGTGTGCTCACTACAGGGAACCAGAGGTCAGGGGCGGAGGAAAAGCCGAAGCTATTCTCTTCGTAGCTTCCCCAGCCCCAGAGGGCCTTCCCCTCGCACAGGGAGGAAGGGAGAAGAATGTTGGTTCCACTGTAGAGACTGCTGGAGCTCCGGACACACAGGTTGGGAGAAAGAAGTACCAGTGTGGCAAACCTGACAAGCACGACTAACGGCAGAAGCGAGCCCCCGAGATCAGCCAGCAACAAAGCAAAGCAGCTCCCCACCTCAAAGGCCAGGAGTGCCCTACTCAATCTGGAAATTTACATAGGCCCAGGGCCAGGGAGAAACGGGCGACAGCCCCACAAGAAATCACTGGTGGACTGGACAAAAGGTGAAAATGTAATCCAGAGCAGGATCATGCCAAACCTCATTGTGGATTTATGAACTGCATTAAAAGTTCATTGGGACTCTTGGGCGCTTATCCCAGAGAAATGAAAACTTATGTTCATACAAAAACCTAGACACAAATGTTCATAGCAGCTTTATTTGTAATAGCCAAAAACTAGAATTAGCCCAGATATCTTTCAACAGGTGAATGGCTAAACAAATTATGGTACATCCATACTGTGGAATGCTGCTTAGCAATAAAAGGGAACAAACTATTGATACACAGAACAAATTGAATGAATTTCCAGGGGATAATGCTGAGTGGAAAAAGTTAATCCCAAGATGTTACATACTGTATGATTCCCTGCACAGAACCTTTTTGAAATGAC